AGGTCCATGGTCAGACAATACCCACATCAGACTGTACAGCCAGGAATGATCTTGTTTGCATACAGAGAGGACACCGTCCTTCATGGTGTATTTAAGGGGTTCCAGGAAATGTAGCCCTTTTTGAGTACCTTCCCTATGTGTCGGGTTGATGCCTGAAATCCCGCTATTAATAGTAAGTAGTGGTAGTAACAGTAGTAGCAGTGAACACGTACTAAGAAACTACTGTGTGCTAGACTCTGATGCATGCTTCTTATATGTTGTATAATTTAACATAGAAGCTTTGCAAGGCAGGAAGGATTCATTCCCAATTTACAGACAAGGGAAATTGAGCTCAGTGACATTTAATAATTCGCTCAAGTTTACTCAACCAGTGGGGGACAGAGCTGGGATTTCCACAGATGTGAGGCATTCCAAAGCTCTTTCCATGGGTCCACAGAGCCTTTCAATGGTAAGAATTTCTTCCTGCAGCCCAAAGATACAAACAGGTAGCCCATAGATAAATGCAACTCAGGTGTGTTAAGTTTAGCCCTCAAACAGCAGAAGTCTGATATTTTTTAAATTGGGAGATTTCTCACCAAAATCTGAGCTGTAAATGAAATGTCAGCAGATCTAGGAATGCTGGAGCCCACAAACCCACTTGGCAACAGTGTGTGGGAGCTGGGTGCCCTCTTTGAGTGAGGCCAGGGCTCTTCTCTGTCTGGGTCCCACTTCCCTGCTTTCCTTCCGTGCTACCTGCTTTGCTCATTTACATCACCTGCCCAGCCCCGTGGCATGTGATTCAATCACACTGCTTTGGCTTTAGGCTTTGATCTCTGTAATTATCTCTGGGAAGACACATATGAAGCCATGTTAGCCATCTGTATTTTGCTGAGAATATGCCTAATATATTCCTGCGAATAGGGACAAGGACTCAGGAAAGGGGAGATGCTTGATGTCAGATAGAGACTGTCTCCTTCACAAATCTGCCTGGAGCTGATTTTGCCAGGAACAGCACTTCTGTTGAGGACAGAGGAAACCTCTTACCGGTAAGAATCCAGGCACAGCGCTCATGATGCAGCCGTGCCTCCAACTCCTCACTCTTTTCTACTATTCACATTAGTAATAAATCTTGAAATATTATGTTAGTGATAATGTCTTACATTGATCCATCACTTTGCAATTTGAAAGCACTTTTACTTTCATAGATCAATTAATTTGCTTCTTACAACTCTGGAGGTAGGCAGGTAGATGTTATTGCTCCCATATTTCAGACTACAAAAACAGGTCTCAGAGAGTGAAGCAGCTTGTCTAAGAAACACAGCTAATAAATGTCATAGACATAGAATACAAACTTGTGGTTGCCATGGGGGCGGGGGGTGGGAAGGGACAGACTGGGATTTCAAAACATAGAATAGATAAACAAGATTATACTGCATAGCACAGGGAAATATATACAAGATCTTGTGGTAGCTCACAGAGAAAAAAAATGTGACAATGAATATATATATATGTTCACGTATAACTGAAAAACTGTGCTCTACACTGGAATTTGACGCAACATTGTAAAATGACTAGAACTCAATAAAAAAAGGTTAAAAAAAATAAAAAATAAACGTTGGAGCCAGGACTAGACTCCAGCTTCCTGACACAGAGCGCTGCTGCCCTTTTGCATTTACCACACTGCCTGCCCTGCCTCCTCCCTGGCACAATAATGACCATTTCCTCTCTTAAAAATATTCATCTGACAGAGATTAATTATACCTCTGATTCGCTTGACTGGGTTTTCCAAAATTTTGTATCACTTTTTCCTAACATTGCATTTTTAAAACCTCGACCATGAGACATTTTTCTCGGTGCTGTATTACTTTTCTCGGGTCACCATCTGAAAGATGAAAATCATTTGCGTTTGAAAAGCATTTGTGTTAAGTTTCGAGGCTGCCTGGCATACACATCCTCAATAAGATTTGGCCAGATTATTTCTGGTCTTACAGAGATTCTGCAAGAGAAATTAACTGCTTAAAAGTCTGAGGTCTGTTTTTGTTTTTGTTTTAAAGCTTGTCTGTCTTTCCCAGGAAGAGTTTTAGATGTGTTTCAAATGGGGAAGAGGGAAATATATTGGCAACACAGCATATTATGCCACACTGCATCTGGGTACAAGCCACATGAAAGCAGTTTAATTTCCTTCTGGGTTTTGTATGGGAGGGCAAGTCAA